TCACTTCTACCGATTAAGTTTGAGTATTCTCATTACCTGTTTGCTGGATAACGTAAGGAAATTATAAGGAGAAGTTGAAAGTCAATCACTTTTGAAAGTTGAAGGGTTTTTAAGTCAAGTATTTCAATAGTAAAGAACTACTGAAAATTTAATAGCAAGCAAAATACACGTAAAAAAAAAAAAAACCTTCAACCCCACTTATTTACAGAGAATTGTACGCAGCTTTACAAGAAAAAAAATACAAATTACAGATCCTGGAACTTAAAGGGCCGGTTATTTACACCAGGTCTAACCCAAACCACGGTTTTACGCAATCAGTGGGCCTCAGGCTTTCTCTATAAGAGGATTGATTGAAATAAAAAAATGTCCATCCACTGTTATCTTTCGGCCCTCATGGCGCTGTTTATAAAAACAGATGTCCAGATAAACGGTCCGGCTAAATTGATTCGACAGTTTAGAACGCGGTTTTGTTAAACAATAGCTAAACTTTGTTTAAATAATCAGACCAAAATGTTAATCAAAAAGAGAAAGTAGAAACTGGAGTGTAATAGTAAAATGGATATTCAATCAGAGGAACTTTACCTGGCAACACCAGAGAGCTGTCTGAAGAAACTCGTATGGACAATCTCCGGTCATCAACTGGAACTTCTCCACATCCAAACCAAAAGACTAAAGAACAGCAACAACAAAACAAACAACAGACATGACTTTAAAAGGAAAGCCGGGTTAAGCTTACAAAAGCAGAGCAGTATTCAACACTAAAATATCTTTCTCAGGATTTGTGCTGCTGACTCTTCCAGAGTGAAAAAACAAAAATCTCTACCCGCTGCTCAACTGGTAAGGTGTTTCACTATATCATACTATGTCTTATTTTAACTTTGCCATGAAAGTTACCTCGCATACATAAAATGTTAGCACCCTTGTGGATACCAAATAATGTTGATGTTCATTTTCTCAGCAATTGCTTTTGAGGCAAGCTTTAAGGGTGTTTGTTTATTCAAAACCATTAACATCCCCTTGATATCAATGTTACCATAAGCTGTATATAAAAGTATGCATTTTGTGCAGTAAATCTTAAAAAAAAAGACAATTCCATTGAAAGGCAAAAAATACCCAAGGCAAATGATTCAGCAAAGACCGACATCTCACAAGCTGAAGGCTTTCATATCACTGCCACAAACTCCAAGAGTAATTAGCTGAAATTGAAAATTACATTTCTGGTAGCAGCCATACTATTGCCTTTTTGTTATTTTTCAATCTACCTTTTTTGTAGTCAAACCACAAAATAGGTAAATAGATATTTTAAAATCCCCCCCCCCCCCAAAAAAAAAAAAAATTTGACACCTTCCCTAAAGGCTTTGGAGCTAGGTATTAGCAAAATGTAAAACACTCCAATGCATGGCTTTCCTTGTTTTCCATTTCTTTCATTTCCACTAGTCTTCAGAAATAGATGAAAATTTAACTTGGGATTAGGATCATTTATCAGAAAAGGCACAGTTTTTTTAATGAAATAATCTGCTTCTACATTTTCAGGAAGAAGTGAGGGGCCACACTTACATGAGTCCGAGGCAATTCATCAGGGTCCGCTTGTACCCGTCCAATTATTTCACATAAAATAATTCCATAGGAAAACACATCAGCCTGAAAAAGATATGATAAAAAAATTTATACTACATATCATAATTTCCAGTATCATGACATGAGTGATCTCATGCAACTTGGTTCAATAGCTAGGCTACAGCCATAACCCTTTCCAGAGACCAATGAGCCACCACTACAAAAGCTTCCGATATACCAACACTTTCCCCTTAGCCCTTACCTCCCATGAATGACCCAGACAGAATTTCTCCTAACAACATCTATACAGACAATATCAAGCAGACAAGTGGTAAGAGTAAAGAAAAATATCAACTAGGGGATTATTCTCCAAAGTAACGTCATAAGAATGGTATAGCAGACAGTGAGGAGACTTACTGATGAGATCAAGGAAGTCAGAGGGTTATGAATAAATGCTATCTGAAGGGGGAGGGGGGAGAAGAGAGGGACTACATTAGATCTAATTCCTTTAAAGCAGAGGAAACCCCACACAGGACCACATTGTTCAAAACTGGGTTTCAATAACCCAGGGTTGGAGTGAAATCTGATTTCAGTTTTAATGCTTTAAAAGAAGATCCAGTATAATTCTAATTGGCTGCCTTTGAACAACTAGGCCTAGATGTACACTATTGCATCCAATAATTCAACCCGTGCTGTGTATTGCTTGACCACCTTAACCTAACGAACCTACATTGCATAACAGTCATTTCAATTTTACTCACTTCAGGCAAGAAGACTTCTGATTAATAACTACGTAACCTTAATTTAGACAAGGTTTGTTTCCAAATCATCTCTATTCATTAAAAAAACTATACTGAAAGATGACATGCTGATGTACAGAGCCCTAAGAAAATTTTCAATTCTTGAATCTTGTTTGAAAAACAGCGGGCACTCTTAGATTCAATGCAAAAAATTTGCAGGATTCATGTTGAGTTTTCCATTATAAAACAGGAATTTTTAATGTTTTCTTTGTTTTGAGGAAATACATTAAGTGCTGCTGGCTAGACCCCCAGAAAGTTTTAAAATTACATGATGTTTGTAGTTCTAATCTAATCATGTTATACATTAGAATAACACAGTCTGCAAAAATTGAGACCTGTGGTCCATTCAGTCTAATATGTTTCAGAACAATTAGAGTTTCACCAAATTTTAACTATAAAACATAGACACTTGCAAATACCACAAACAGTGACAATATAATCCTCCAAAATATATAAGTGCTGAATTCTACATATGAATTCATCAAATTTCATACACAATTTAGGGCACTCATTTTCAAACCAGCTGGTCCAAGATAAGGCCTCACAGTAAGCAACTTAAAGTCTGAATATCTGAAAGCACATTGGCTGGAATTCAATCAATAACTTCCCCATCACCTGCTTACCTTGTCATCATAAGGCTCGCCACGTAAAAGCTCTGGAGCCATGTTGTACGGAGAACCAACAATTGACTGTTCCCTGCAATGTAAAATACTGTCATGCATAAAATTTCTTTTTTAAAAACTTCCATGCAAAGCCAAGCATTCCTAAACAAAGGTGATCCCTGATCAATAATCATACTCAGTACAATTTTACTTTCAGCTTTACAGGGGAACTTTAATTAAAACCTGCCAGAAGTTAACTTAAATTTGACAAACTTCAAGGTGAAATTTCACGAAAAGTAACAACAAACTTATTTCCATACACTTCTAGGCAGACTTTAGCATATTAGAAAGCAATTCTCACTTTGTAATCTCTCCAACCATTCTTGAAGACCATTTCTTGCAGATTTAACCATCATTTCTGCATAAAGACTCATTTTCATTTGAACTCTGAGCAAACATTATCATCATTGTTTGTTGTCTGATATGTAACCAAACACAAATAGCACATTTTTTGAAAAGAAATTATGACATATGCAAATTTTTTACACCAAAATATGCTCCAGACAGGTACTTTGATTTCTAAACATATGTTGTGAGGGAAAATATTACAGAAATGAACTTTTAGCACAGTTTTGAAATGTTATTTAGCATAATTGCTGTGTTAATTTTACCAGAAGTTGGGTCATTGGTTTCAAGATCCTTCAGGACTGTTGTCCTTCAAAAGTTTTTGTAAGTTATACTTTGAAAGTTGATATGGTATTTCCTCAAGTTTAAAGATTTTGATATTCTAGCTGTTTTCATTACCCAAATATGCTCTTGTGTTAGCACAGAAAAAGAATTTCAGTGCAAAACAACTTTTTCTGTCTAAACAGGTCTGAGCAAAACAATAGCTTATAAGGGTTAAATTAAAAGAAAAAGGTTGGAAGAGCAATAGTTCACATTTCACCAATAACAAATTTTCAAATTTGCCCTGAAAATTACTGCCACCGACTATTAATAGAGCAGAATTTTGGATAGCGGCAATATTTTTGGAAACAAAGCAATATCTTTAATTTATGATTTAAAATAGGTCCAAAGCCATTTTTTTCAAACATCAAACATTGAGACTGTACTTAGAATCTGTGACTTGCAAATCATGAGAGTCTTCGTCCGATCTCTTTGGGTTTAGTTTGCATAAGTAACGACAATACATTTCACGCCGTGCAATCGCCGATCTCATTCAATAATTCTGAATTCCGCTACAAAGACTATCTCGTACGAAATTATTTGATCTTCAGTTAAATTTTCGTTTTGAATCGAGGCGATGTTATTGAAATTTATTTACTCAGATGACTGCCGAGTTTGAATCATTATTTCCTCAAGGAAATAAATACTTGAGCTGATTATTTCTTTTCATTATTTGGATGTCCAACAAAGAGTCGGATATCGGACAGAAAATAATCCTTTTTGGCAATTACACGTATTTCAAAAACACGATGAGGTATCAATTGTTTAAGAGCTTACTTTATGTCAGTTGCTAATCCCAAATCTGCAACGATAGCGTATCTCCATCCTTTCCTCTCTTTTATCAAGCAATTCTAAAACAAAGTAAATAAATTAAAGATGAAACTGAGGAAAACATATATTCATGATATTATTTTTTCGAATTCACAGAAAGGCTATATCTCGTCCAAAATCAGGGATCGCAACTTCACTGAGGTAAAACTGCCCTTGCCTTTGATGTTAAGTCCCTGTGTATAACATTATTATCGTGGAGGTAACTCATTCCTTCAGCGATATCTCTTGCAAGGTACAGCCTTGTCGACCATTCAAGATGAACTGAATGCTTTAGTAAAAGTCCTTCGAGGTCACCTCCATTGACAAACTGGAAGAAAATCGCAAACTTTAATTACTATTACCATGAGAACATTGTACGCAGCAAGTACAATTTGGACTGAAGCTCATTTTCGTTTTGTAAGCTCCTAAACAAATACTTTCAGGGAAAGTAGATAAATTCATTTAGTGGTTGAAATAAACTCGTAGAAAAGTTATAAAATAGAATTACCTCGCAGAGAAGATGTACTCTATTATCATCGACGCAAATTCCAAGAAATCTGTGATTGAAATAATAGAAGTGATTGGCTTATCCGAAATCAAATCGATGTTTACAACCGATCTCCATCGTGTCTGGACAAGAGGAAATTACCAGAAAAATTGGACCAAACCAATACCTGATGACATTCTCGTGGGAGAGATGACTCATTAACTTGATTTCATCCAGCATCGTACAATCATCTTTTTCCACGTCGGGTTTGTTCATTTTCAAAACCATAAATTCCCCTGTTTCGCGGTGCTGAACCTGACAAACGGAAACAAGAAGGAAAACAAGACAGCAGAACTTTAGTCACGATCTCAAAGAGTTTCAACACGCTCAAAAAATTAACAAACTTCGATAAAGAATTTTTTCTACCTTATATACATCTCCATAAAATCCATCAGCGATTTTGGAACATATAAAGTCATTGTAGCGGTATATGCAAGAGCTTGGAATTGACGAAGGTATATCTAACGAGCTACGGTCGATTTTTCCGCACTCGTCTTTACAGCTACGATCGACGGAGTTGCTTTTGACTTCGCCATTCCAAGAAGCAGAACCATCCATAAGGACAACCATAGGTGTAACTTTAATAAAACGCGAATGTCAGGTTGGTTTTCCCGCCTGAAACAGCATATTTAGCCCAGATTTCACTGCAGATAGACCACACATGTTCTCGCAGTAGTCTGTTTGAACGTATTGTGTTACTCTGCAGTTGTAAACTTGGCCTGAGGCCTCACGGGAAGGACACGCATCCTGGTATTTTGATTGGCTAGTCGTTGTAGTATCGAAACACACTCTTGTCAATCAAATGTTTTCGTTATTGTTACTGCTAAAAGGTTTGTGGAGCGTAAAACCACAAAGAATACAGAAATTATTTTGCGAGATCAGCGAGCTGTAACTGGTAAACAAATACTTGTGGGAAAATAAACAGTGTCCATCTCGTCTACATTTTATGGTTTCCTTCGCGGAGAACTTTCTGATTTCTAAGTCTCAATCTCTAATGCTGCTTGCTCTAGAATCATTGCAGATTTGATCTAGAGTATTCCATCAAATTAAACATTAACATTAAGCTCCTGTTCTATGGATAACGGTCTCGATACGAAACTGAAATTTGCAAAGCATCTCGAACGAAAAGCTGGATGAGGAAGTCAATTAAAAAAAAGTTGCGAGAAACGAAGTAAACAACGCAACCGAAACTGAAACTGTGTCGGGGGTCTTCCATCAACTCAACCGGGTATCCTCTATGCTCGCTGCTTAAAAAGAAAGACAGAATAAAAATACTGAAATCACTTCATTTCCTACTTTAGAGTCTGGTACGCCCACGTTGAAACAGATCCCGATGTGATCGGGAGAGTGGGCGGGGAAAGTGGGGGGGG